CAAAATGATAGAATTGTTGAAGTGATTCCAATTAAGACTGAAGCAATGGAGTTAGTCAAGGTTACTGAAAGGTGGAGAGATTGATCGAGAGACGAAGATAATCAATAAAGTAGTTGTTATGAGGAAAAAAAAATTTAATCAATGTAATTGCTAACTAAACATTACATATAACTGAAAATATAAATAATAATAATAATTAAATTAGATTAATAAAATAACAATAATAATTAATAAATTCTTTTGAAATATAATAATATTGTTTTCCAACATAAACTAAACTACGTTAATTCTCTTCACTTGCATTTTCAACTCTATCATCTCCCACTATAAGTGACGAAGAAGGGGTTTATTAAATGATATTCTTTGCAAATAATTTAGCTGTAGAAACTAGGAATAAAAGCAAAATAAGATGCTTGAAACAAAATAGTGTGAAAATTACTAAAATAGCACTAGAGAAGTTGTTGTCGAAAATGTAAGATTCAAAGAGGAGAGCGATTAAACAAAATGATAGAATCGTTGAAGTGATTCCAACTAAGACTGAAGCAATGGAGGTGATTAAGGTTAGTGAAAGGTGGAGAGATTGATCCAAGGAAGGAGCAAATCAATAAAGTAGTTGTTATGAGGAAAAAAAACTTTTGAAATTTGGTACTAGTCCAATAAAAAACATTATTTTGAGATGATAGCGTTAAATGCTACAGCAATGAAAAAGACAACACAAATACTAAATTGATAATAGATATACATATAAAAATTATTTATAAATTTTTTAACATAAAGACTAACTTATCTTAACTTCAAATATAAAGATAAAAATACTATTTAAATTTATAATTTTTTAAAGTTTTAAAAGATTGTGTAACAAATTTTGTATTTTTAATTTTTTTTTGTTTTATTAATTGAATATGCAAAATTAATTTTACATTTTTGACTTAAAAATTCTAACTACACATATAAATTATTTAGATTTTATGCCTTTTTAATAATTTATTTTAAAATTAATATTTATTAGATTAATCAACTCAAATACAACGTGTTAGAATTCATCAAAAGCCAAAATGAAACAATACATTAAAGATATTCAGATTTTAACAAAGAAACACGGTGGTGCAGGTGTTTTGCCATTTCTTTTCCTGTTTCTTGGGTCTTATCTTATCAGTATGAGAAAACAATTGTTATTTTAAAAATATGTTGAATATGAAAGATACATAATTACTTCCAAATTAACAAGACAATTATGTAGGTAACAGAAGTGTTTATCTTAAGATGTGAGAGCAAGTGAAATATTATCTCAATCCTTAATTATGTAATATTTTATCATAAAGATTATACTCCTCTTAGGTCCAAAAAAATATTATTACTTCTTAGATATGCTCGTTATAGCATAATACACATGATCGAATTACGTAATTTCTTATTAAAAAACCATTACGTAATTTGACAAGTAACATAATATTTTGCACTTCTTATACAATTTTGAATAACCTGTTTATTTTCCAGTTCAACAATTAAAAACATAATTGGAGAAAACTATATTAATGTATGAAAATTTATCAGCGCAAATTTCAAAATACGTTAAATGAACTTGATTATTTTTATTAAAGAATCGATTCTAATGACTTGCAACGTTAAACTGATGAGAGCTCATGTGTTAGTCCACTTACTTGCCCTTATTATAAACTGAAGACCAATTAATAATTAATTTGGATGAGAAAAATAGTAATTACTTAAAAGACTCGAATACGGTAGTTGGAACTTGGAACCTTGATTGGTGTCACCAACTTCATGTACAAGGCTTTACTCTCTGTCTCTCAATTAAAAGACGATTAAAAAAATAACGAAAGAGATTGAATTGAATTCAAATTAGTATGAAAATTGTTTGTCCATGAAGTGCTTAAGAACAGTGTGTATCAGTATATAACTGGCATGTGAATGTGATTATCCATGTCTATGTAGCATGGCATGGCGATGAAAAACATCACTTTCTTGCCCTTGTCTCCACTTGGTATTAGTTAATGGTTATAAGATAACATGAAGGATAATAAAAAGGGTTAGGAATTAGGAAATAATGAAATATTACTATACAATAAATATGCTACCTGACCAATTGTACCAAATTTTTAAAATCACAGCACGAGTCACCCTCTAATTCAATAATGTCACGTCATTAATTTCTCCTAGATGTTTTAAATAGTATTCATGTACGGATAATAACTTTTTTTAACATGAATATATATTCACTTTGGATGAGAAAATAATCCTTTTTTGGGCTATTTATGTTGTATTTTTTTTTATATAAAATTTTCAACCTTTTTAGTAATTTTTTAAAACATTAATAACTAATAAGATGGTAAGAAAGCAACAGGACGTATCCCTTGAGTCAGAAGCAGTACTGCTCATATCTACAATATGACTTTCCAAAGCTTGAGTCTACGATCATCATTGCTTCCTTCTCTCACAGAGAAAACTGCTCAATTTGTTGCACATGGTTTTCTATGCTTAAAAGAAGATGATACTTTGACAACAATAAAATGGGCGTTGAATAAGTCCACACGGAGAAGAAAGATAAGCAGAAAAAGATATAGATAAGAGAGAAGGTCAAATATGCACACTCTCTCTCTCTCTCTTCCCATGATACATCACTAGTCTACTTTGTTTAGATCATTATGCACAGAATGGAAGTGACAAGTCTGATGGCAGAGGCTCTGACCCATCAATCAATCTTTGCATTTGCATCATCTAAACAGTGATGAACACACACGAGTTACACAAAGCATCTGGGCAGCTTCTAAGTTCAAATGTCACCCATTTCGGAAAACAAACTCTCTCTTAGTCCAAGGCTAAAGTTGCTCAAAGACGTGAAGGAGGGAGAAGAGAGTGCAACTTTCTTTTTCTAAATTAAGAACAACATATGAACTTCAAACAAGAAGCATGTGATTCTACACGAAGGGGTAGCATGGGCACAAGATTGTCGATGCAACACATCATTGTGTATGCATGAACTTGTTATTGATTATCATCATATAGTTGATATTGATCGGCTGATCAAATATTAACTCCGCAATGTGTACAAATATATCCCCACAGATCAAAATTTAATTCACACCTATATGATATAAAACCACATGCATTGCATGTTGCCATACTCTATCATTTGTAAAATGTCACATCTTTGTGCATGTGTATGTGTGTAGACTAATCTAAGTTCAGAGCATTACGTTGCTCCGGTTCTATCCATAGGTGTGCTTGTGCCATCTTATTTATATTGAGAAAATTAGTCTTTATAAAACGGAAGCTTTTATGTGTGTGTATATATATAATACAAGAATATGAGATTTTTTTAAAAACATCAATAATATTTTTTAATGTTAAAAATTTATATAAAAGCAAAAATGGTTAGTAACGATTTTTAAACTAGTAAAAATAATATTTTATGTCCCAAAAATTGTAATTGACAAGTTTTAAAGTTTAAAAAATATTAATTTATTCTCTATCTAACCTATTGTGACTAAGAACATTAACTTCCAAAATTAGAAGTATGTATAAAATTGACTAAAACTTTCTTTTAAAGGAATTTATCATAAACTAATTAATTACAAAAACTTATATAATGGATTGGAAAATATTATGTTTTTATGTTTGTTTGGGCCTTATTTCCAGTGAAAGTATGATATACTTTTGCGTGTTTTAGAGTTGTCTTTTGGATTAACCCATTATGGATTGTGATTATTTTCTGGTCTCTACTGCAAACTTCAAAGTCAGTAAAAAACGTCAACAGTGATGTTTGAAATGGATAATTATGTTAAAAATACCATATTATGATACTTTATACACTCAAATGTTATATTTAAATTATTAATTGTATTTGTGCAAGAAAAATATTTTTTTTATTTTAACATAATATTTAAATTTTAAAATGAAAGATGTAATGTAGCAAAAAATTATTAATTATTGAATAATACGTACGTTAATGTCTATATTGATTAAATGTTTATATGTAAATAATGTAAAATTAAAATTATTTAATTTTCATGTTTTTTAAAATACATTTATATATATATATTGGTTGTATGGGATGAATTTCAAATCTTGAAATAACTATTAATATTTGATGAAAATCTCTGAAAACAACAATTTTCCCACCAAAGGTTGATCTATTAAGTTGATATTAAAAAAATTCATGATTTCCCTTAGAGTAAGATTCAAAGTCTCAAAAACCCATTTATTAAACAGAGGTGATTAATCTCAAATAATAAGAATCGTACGTTAATGTAATTTTAACCAAGAAGAAACAAAAATAACCAAGAAGCAACACCGAGAACCAAAACCAAGAACTAAACAAGTGCAAGAAGAAGAAACAAGACCAAGAATCAAGATTAAGACACGAGAAGAAAAAGAAGAACAAGAGCAAGACCCAAGAACAAAGAAGAAAAAGAAGTGAAAACCTTAACCAAGAAAGGAAAAACAAGCAAGATCAAGAACCAAGAAAGAAAAATAGCATAGTTTTATCTGTTTCAACGACAAAATACTCAAGGTTATCCATCACCCTTTCCCACCTAATATGTAATGTTTTCATGTTTTTGAGATAATTTTATGAGGCAGAAAATTTAAGATATTTTTGAAAAAGAAAAAAAAAATTGAGATGTTTTTCATGAAGAGAAATAAAGAGAAAATTTGACTTTAAAAAAATGTTATTTTATTTTATTTTTTGGTTTAATACTACATGTTGATAACTCAGTAAAAGTATGTTTAACTCATCCACCAAGAATCAATTCTCAAATTCATCGATTGGTGACTCACGAGGCAATAGAATAGATTGAAATTCCTTCGAACCTCTTGCATTTGAACGAAGTAATTACCTGGCTGCTTCAATCAAACATAGGTTCTTCAGATTATAATGTGCAATTTGAAGATCTATAAATAAAAATAGTGCGATTGTTTAAAATTTTTCTTCGTTCCTAAACAATGGCTTCGAATAGTGAATTCATTCAAACAAGTTTCTAATGAGTCCTAAAGATGGAGTCTTATGGAAGGCTCAGCAAAATCTTCTGAGCTTTATGAAGCGATGTTGGAGCATTAAGCATTTGAAGGAGATCCACGCTCGTATAATCCACACTGGGTTTCATCACAACCTCCTTCTAGTCGGAAAGATCATAGAGTTTTGTGCCGTATCGGAGCATGCAGATATGGATTACGCTCTCTCCGTTTTTGACAACATTCATAAGCCCGATGCATTCATCTGGAACACCATGATTAGGGGTTTTGGGAAGACTAAACAACCAGAAAAGGCCATTCATTACTACAAGAAAATGCAGAGAAATGCTTACGTGGCACCAGACACTTTCACCTTCTCTTTCGTTCTTAAAATTACTGGTGGATTGGGATCAGTTACGTTGGGGAAACAACTGCATTGTTCCATCCTTAAACTTGGATTTCAAACTCATACTTACGTTAGGAATTCGCTCATGCATATGTATGGTATAGTCACTGACATAAAAACCGCACACCAACTGTTCGAGGAAATTCCAAACCCGGATTTAGTCGCCTGGAACTCTATCATTGACTGTCATGTGTATTGTAGAAACTATAAAGGAGCTCTTGGTATCTTCATCAGAATGCTGCAAACTGGCATGCAACCTGATGATGCCTCTTTGGTAGTGACCCTCTCAGCATGTGGTGCAATTGGAGCACTGGATTTTGGGAGGTGGATTCATTCTCTCATTCAAGAAGATACTAAGCTTTGTGACATTACATCAGTTTCCAATTCCCTGGTTGACATGTATTGCAAGTGTGGAGCAGTGGAAGAAGCCTCTGAGATTTTTAACAACATGAAGGGGAAGAACATAATTTCGTGGAATGTTATGATTCTTGGGCTTGCATCACATGGTAATGGAGAAGAGGCGTTATCACTTTTTACAAAGATGTTACAAGAGAATGTGGAGAGACCAAATGATGTTACATTCTTGGGTGTGCTAAGTGCTTGTAGCCGTGGGGGATTGGTTGATGAATGTAGAAGATATATTGATGTTATGGGCAAAGACTATCACATCCAACCCACTATAAAGCACTATGGGTGTATGGTGGACCTTTTGGGTCGAGCTGGTTTAGTTGAGGATGCATACAATTTGATAAAGAACATGCCAGTAGAGTGCAATACTGTTGTATGGAGGACTTTGTTAGCTGCATGTCGACTTCATGGATGTGTTGAACTTGGTGAGAAGGTAAGAAAACATCTGTTGGAATTAGAACCAGATAATAGCAGTGATTATGTTCTTCTTGCGAATATGTATGCTACCACAGGTCAATGGAATGAAATGAGCAAAGAAAGAAGATCAATGCGGGAAAGGAGAGTTCAGAAACCAGAGCCCGGAAATAGCTTCATTGGCATTCCTGGATTGAGGTTGGAGAAAGAGACTATTGAAAGGTAGTTATAACAATAGCACAATTTTTTTCCTTTGTACATAAATCAACACATGACAACAGCATGGATTGAAGATGTCAACTGATAGAGTCAATGAAGATTTAGAAGATTCTTTTCCTTCATTCGAAGCCTCTTAATGCAAATCGTATGTCAGTGTTTAGCATAGGAAGAGTCAACGACTTGATGCTGCAAACACCATCATCGTCTTCCATCCAAAAGACAAATTTTCAGAGCAACGGCAGTGATTTTCGTAGCTTTTTCCTTACTCTTTTCGGTGCAACTTCTTACGTGCTTTCAAAATCCCTCATGCTTGATATTTTTGTCATAGCTATCTTTGGGTCACTTTTAGCGTCATTGATATTTAAAGTGGAAAAATTGAACTAACAAAATTGTTATAAAGATACATTGGGGTATACTTATAGAATCATATATTTTCGTTTGCAGAATCCACTGACGTGTTAGCTCTTCAGCCCCAGGATTGAATCTGAAAGATAATATGAGAACGCCCGAGGATTCAATATTATTGTTCCCTTGAGGACTGTACTAGTAATTACATTCAATATTAAAATTTTAAAACCATTGTAAATGTAAAACACTCACAATTTACAAAGAGAAAAAAACAAAACATAGCTCTTGAAAAAAACAAATCAAGTTTCAAAAGCTTCCAGGATTGAAGTTCACTACTGTGGGAAATTATGAAATTACAATGACCGCTCCTTTTATTGCAAGGAAACAGCTATTTGCACTCTAGAGGTTGAAGCCACTACTAGAAGTAATTTCACATCATTTTTTAAAAATTAATAAATATATAAATTAGACTTATTATCTATCCTTCGTTCTCATAAATGATGAATGAATAGGATTCATGCAATTTAACTTTGCACTGTTGAAGAGCCGTTCCCTGCAAATGTTTATTTTAATAAGGAAATTATTTAAAGGCAGTGACTCTTATTTTCACAGTGATTGACTTGAACCTCTTAATAACTGTGACAATTCTATGGATTCTTAAGAGATTGGTATTTCACTATTGTAAGTATATGTGATACTGTGATTTAATTTGTGGTCATCCATGAATTTGGCATTGATTCCAAAGTTCCATCATGTAAGGAATTGGCAATGGAGATTCTTCTCCTGGTTTCCACAATCTGAACATGCACGCGTGGAACAATTGCTTTGTGATTGCTCAAGTTTGAGCCATCTTCAACAGACACAAAGCTTGATGCTTACCAGAGGTCTGGACCAAGATGACATTCTACTCTCCCAATTCATACACACCTCTGCTTTTCTGGGCTTTTCCTCTTATGCTTATTCTGTTTTCATCTATAATCAGCGACCCAACACCACCATCTTTGTCTACAACAACATCATTTGGGCTCTATCCTCATCCAATCCCATTCGCTCCATTTCTCTATTCAACACCATTCGCTTACTTGGGTTGCGACCCGATTCTTATTCTTTCCCTTTTGTTTTAAAGGCCGTCGTTTGTTTATCCCACGCTGTTGTTGGGGCGCAGATTCATTGTCAAACTATTGTTTCTGGGTTGGACTCTCATCTCAGTGTGGTCACATCCCTCGTTCATATGTATTCTTCTTGTGCTCATGTTCCATCTGCTCGCAAGCTATTTGATGGAGTTAATTTGAAACATGTTTCCCTCTGGAATGTTATGCTCGCAGGTTATGCTAAGGTGGGGGATATGTCCAATGCCCGCAACTTGTTTGAATGTATGCCTCAAAAGGATAGGAATGTTGTTTCATGGACTGTGCTTGTTTCAGGTTACACACAGACTCATAATCCCAATGAGGCTATCATGCTGTTCCGCGAAATGCAGCTCCAGAATGTGCAGCCAGATGAAATTGCAATTTTGGCTGTGCTCTCAGCTTGTGCTGATTTGGGTGCTCTTCAGTTGGGGGAGTGGATTCACAACTACATTGAAAAGCATAAGATGCGTCAGATTGTTTCTCTTTATAACTCTCTCATCGATATGTATGCCAAATCAGGGAACATAAGTAAAGCACTCAAATTGTTTGAGAACATGAAGCATAAAACGATCATAACATGGACAACAATGATTGCTGGACTTGCTTTGCATGGTCAGGGAAAGGAGGCCCTTCATGTATTTTCTTGCATGGAGAAGGCTCAAGTCAAGCCAAATGAAGTTACCTTTATGGCAATTCTTTCTGCTTGTAGCCATGCTGGATTGGTTGAACTGGGCCGTGATTATTTCAATTCTATGAGGTCCAAATATGGAATTGAACCCAAGATTGAGCACTATGGCTGCATGATTGATTTGCTTGGACGTGCTGGCTATCTTCAAGAAGCAAAAAAACTAGTTGGGTTGATGCCTTTTGAAGCAAATGCAGCTATATGGGGATCCCTTCTTGCTGCTTCAACTAGATGTGGTGATGTGGAGTTAGCAGTGGAAGCATTACGTCATCTAAGACTGTTAGAACCCCACAATTGTAGTAATTATTTACTCTTATCCAATACTTATGCTGCGCTTAGCAAGTGGAATGAAGCTAAAATGGTAAGGAAGGATATGCAGGACACGTGTGTGGAAAAGGTGGCAGGTGTGAGTTTTATTGAGTTGAACAACAGAGTATATGAATTCACTGCTGGAGATAAATTAAACGTCAACTTTGTTGGCATATGTGATGTTCTGCAAAGCATAAAGGGGCAATTGAAGATGGTTTTTATGAGAAACCCACATAGAGAGCAACTATATTTTGACGAATGACGGCTGATGCAGACTATTACTGGACATACTTAATTCCTTCTACAAATATGTTTTCTTTTAGTACAACAGAAAATATATCCCTTAACGCACCGGTGACCTGTAAATTATGAGATATTACATTCTAACAAGCTTGTCTACAACAATAAATACAAAAGTGTAACAAAATTAATTATATCATCTGTTTAACACTGTCATTACCAACTTATTCCTTCATTTTTTTAAGATGTTTTTAATTTTTTATAAGTTCTGTTTTAAGTAAAAAAATTTCATACCCCTCCCTCTTTCATTTCTTACGTCCGTCTTCTTCCGTTTAAAGAAACATTTTGTAATTGATTATTTCAGGAGTTCATGCACTTTTTCTTAAATAAGTAAAATAAAATAATAAAAGTTACATGTAGTATAATATTTTGAAAAAATTAATTTAATTTTATTATCTAATTCTCATTATTTGATCGAGCAAGTTTCAACCGAATTATTCTATTCAAGAGTCTATTCTATTATTGAACCCTTAATTATATTTTAAAGAATACGAACACTTCAAACTCTTTGAAGTATTGATTATTTAATATATACCATATCAAATCATTAGACGGTATTTAATTATTAGCCCCCATCTCATAACATTTCTAATATAGGTTATCTATCTGTTGTCAAAAGTTAAAATAAATTTAAAGTGTGCTTATATCAAGAAGGGAAAAAGAAGAAGCAAAATGCGATCTTACAATCTTTTTTAATAATGAATATATGGTGTCGGTAGAGAATAAGTGGATAATTGATTTTAAAAAATATAATTAAAAATTATAAACAAATAACTGGAGATGAATTCACTCTTGTATTATAAACTGTCTTTATTTTTTAATAACAAACTTTAAGTATTATTTTCATTAGATAAACTAAATTTTAAATAAATAAAGAATGAACTTATGAACTGAATCCCACTTCTTAAGATTTTAAAATAAAAAACGCAGAGCATCAAATACAAAATGTTAGTGTGCACAGTTGTATTCTCTTACTAATAATCATAAAACCAATCATCTGAGTATATATTTATATGTTTTAAAATGTGAATCTTGTATCTTGTTGCCAATTGTTATACATATAATTCTCAACAAAATGTTCAGTCGTGTGAGGTGAAAGGGAAATTCATTTTTTCTCTATCCTGTCCTATTGGTGCCTCACCCAACTCCCCCTCAAAATAACGTTTGAATCGATGAACGGGATAAGCAACCAAAACATTTTACGTAAACAAAAATTGAAGCAGGAGCATTTCAACAAATCAATGGATGATATTAGCAAAATTTTATACGTGGAATAAACTAGGAGTCTCCTCCTTACACCTGTTTAACTTTACATCTATTCAACATGATATTATATTTTTTTATGAATAAATCTAGCGCCATACCTTATTCCAACAAGTTACAAAGAATATTACAAGCACAACTTTTCTTTGCTGACCAAAACTAGAGCTATCTTGAGAATCCATTGGCCAGAACAGGGATCCTTACCTTGTGTCCTCTGCTTCCCTTCATTAAAACCTCTCCAAAACTATAGGTTCCTGTCACTGAGCGAACAGTAAGGGTAACGGAAAACTTACGTGATGCGCCTGCTTTGATGGTCATTGCTGGAGGGTTGACGTCAATGGCAACTGCTGGTTGCATTCTGGCTGTGATCACGTAGGTTTCTTCCTCAGCAACATTTGTGACACTGCGGCTGACAATTTGTGTTCCCACAAGATGGGAAACTGTAATGGATGGAGAGTTTAGATTTGATGGGTGACCCATGGTGTTGTTACATGGCGAGTGTGTGTAGTTCTTTATCTCACTAACATCAATGCCAGGTGTTGTGCACAAGAACCCTAGATAATCTTCATATCCTGCAAGATGATTAGCAAAATTAATTGAGCAGTTATTTTTATCTATATATGGTCCTGTTTAAATTGCTTCTCCTCCCTGTTATTGTATTCCTTATTCGAGTTGAGATCATGGTTTTTTTGCCACATTTTCATTTTATATTTGGTCTCAAGATTACTTTTTGCAACTTGGACCTAATGCCAATATTGGTCCAACCCACCAAAAAAAAATGGAGTTCTAAGAAACTCCTGAATTTTACTCACCTTGATTTTCATTAACAGGCGAATTCGTGTTTATTGGTCAACTATGAACGCAGACATGCCAAGATAAACAAAATAGCTTTAGATGGAGGAAGTAAATAAACCTGCATCAAAGATGAGCCCAGGGTCCAAGGCAGCTCTTGGATTAACATGTCCACTCCCATAATCAAAGGGAGTGGCTCTGACCAACTTCATAGCTTCTGTTTCAGAATATTGCTGTGCTAGGATAGGATTTCCTGCTCTGTCTAGAGTTGTTGACGTTGTCATTAAAGCTGATTTAATGGCAGCAGGGCTCCAATGTGGATGTTTTTGTTTTATAAGAGCAGCGATGCCGGCTATATGTGGGGCAGCCATGCTGGTTCCAGATATCATGGCAAATCCCTCTCCTGCTCAAGAAAAAAATGCTTAAATAAATCAAATTCTACAATATATTGAAAATGAAATAATATTAGGGAATCCTGCCCAATTTTCTCTATACTAATTCGAGCTTCAATTACTAGAAATTTTATGATTCTGGTTCAAATTTATCAACATATAAGCACAGAACAAAGATGAAACCTCAAACATTGATAATTTGACACGTGTTTTTTCTCCCTGGAGAATGTCGCATGCCTGTTTGATTATCTACTCTTGGTGCTGTGACAATGAATTTCTTGTATTATTTACACAATGAAAAGAAAGAAATCCAGTTTCAAGCAGCATAATGGATTTGAATCCTCTCAATGACACTGTCATGAGAAAAGATACCAACATTCTTGTTCACGGACCCATCATTACAAGTGCAGGGTACAAAAGCCCATCAAAGTAGTTTTTACCTTTCTAACATGACTCTGATGTTCCACAAGAAAGCATTTCTTGACAGGTTGTCCATGTTTAGTTGTAAGCAGAAGTTTCAAACATTAATAATTAAGAGACAACTTAGTCAAACCATTACGTACCAACATAATTTGGCTCGTCAGTTCCATTTAGAGACCAAGCACCCCAAATCAATGAACCCGGAGCTAATATATCTGGTTTGAGAAGATCTGCCTCTTGGAAGCTGAAGTCCCTTATATTTGGCCCTCTAGCAGAAAATAGTGCCACCTGTGGTGCAGATTTATGAAGAATAGGCATCAAACCATCCTCAATTTTGCCCATCCCTTTGAAAGTCTTCACCCTTCCAGTCCAGTCTCTTGGGGTGGAAATATTATAATAATCTATCAGTTCCTGAAAATAAGGATTTGCAAGTTCCCAATCACATTATAAACACCACATACTTCTTGATCATAAAAAAAGTATTGATGAAAACATAGAAAAAGGAGACAAAAAATTGTATCTGAATAGCGACAAGAAAACAAATGAAAACAATTGGCAGTTATCGTCAATCTCAGGAAGGCTGAGTCAAGTACCTTTGACTTGCTGATATCTGTGATAAGAATCCCAGGAAGGCCAACTGGGACTGGATCAAATTTCGTTCCAGGAGAAACATTTTCGACACAAAGAACAAATCCAACTGCTCCTAGGGCCTTTGCTGTTTCGGAGACTTTCTTTATTGATGCAGAACCAACAACAAAATTGTAAGAATAGCCACACAGAAGAATATTTCCCTTTATTAAGTTCTTATTTAAAAGTTCTGGTCTCTGACAATCGGTGGGGCTGTATTTCATAACAGAAGAATCTAGCAGCACATCATTTGCAGCAACCAATGTGTATGTTTGGTTTGAACGTGTTGAAGCTGCAAGTCATGAGCAACGCAGAGTATATAAGAAAACTATAAGAACAAACTAATGTGGACAACATCAATATGCTTTGGCACATAAGCATCAAGTATACAGAACACTGAAGTGACTTTATTTATCTAGAAACAACTCATGAAATTGCTAGTCACCAAACCCCATTTTAATAAAACAAACCTTCACGGAAAGGATCAAGAAGAGTGGCTCTATTTTTATGAGTTATATTAGTTATGTATTCAATATTATTGATGTTCAAATTGTTATACTATTCTTTATTCTTTATTCTTTATTTTAAAAAAATAATTTTCTTGCCAAAATGCCTTAGACCACCAAAGGTAAATGATATTCAACAATTTGGATCTCTATTTGATAAACCAAACATCAAATGAGCTTATACCAATGCTCAGTAACCTTAAATCTACAACAACCTGGTATGATTAAATCCAGTAAATGGTATTTGCCAACAATAGTAAAGAAAAATACAGAAGATTATGTCAGGCCTTTGTTTCAAGAGTGATGCTTATCTACCCTCAAAACTAATTGACGTCATCTACAGAAGAAAAAATTCCGACTGTTTTCTCCTCCTCCTTCTTCTTTCCCTCGCCACACACAAAAACAAAGCTGTAATACACCAGTAAGTAAAGCAGTAAAATGAACAGAGACTTGTTCTGCCTGAACGCTGTGTTTTTGTTTACTTTTTTTTATTTATCTTCAGCTAAAAATAAAATTTCCATCACAATCATCAACATTGTATCCACAAGTACCAGTCCGTTCATCATTAAGAAAAATTTCTAAGAAACATAGTAGTAAGTTGGAGAACTCACGTGACAACCCCATTCCTGCTAAGATTTTTCCATTTCCAAGGATCAGATGGTTTTTATATCTACGATCATCAATTGCAGCTGCTACAGATGCTATCCATGGACTATATGAAACTAATGACTTAGGAAAAGGACCACCATTTCCAGCAGCTTGTGCGACAAACACTCCAGCTTTCACAGCTCCAAGAAGTGTAGCATCAAAAGGGTTCAAAAACGTAGTTTTGGTGTTTGATGGAGGACTATTTGGTCCGACGGAAAGACTGAGTATATCCACCCCATCATGTACCGCCTGTTCACTCTCAAATTTGAAAAATTAGACATCTTGAGTAAAACACTTCAACAGTTAAAAAAATA